TCTTTAGACAGTCAAACCTCAACTGTATTGCTCAGCAGGGATTTGTCTATTCAATTTTATGGCTGGTCTTAAATGTGAGACTTCGAACTCATACTGTTTCTGTTGTTCCTATAGCAACAAATTATGTGGAAAGGCAGCAGTTTTGCTTTGCTTTGCAGCTGGTGTTTTGAGCTCACAGCAAGGGAGGAGTTTTGGGAAAATAGGGGGTTTATAAGCTGGGATGTGACTTATTCAGAGGTAGAGCTGTTGCTGAGGTACCTCACCCGTTATGGAGGAGTTGGTTTATGATTTTGAGTAGGGCTTCCTAGTCTTCTTTAAATAAAGTTCTGTTCTCTCAGTAATGAGATATGATTTACTCGAAGTGTTTGATCTTTCTCTTCACTGTTTATGCCTTTTCCCACCTAAAATGAAGCTCTTCGTCATCATGCAGCTCTAAAATTTGTTTCAGTAACTTGAGCGGAGCTTATAACCTTCAAGTGCTCTGAACATACCTGAGGTATGGAGCTTTGTAACTTCTGTTTGCAATTGTCCAGTGACTGTGTTGTAGAAGGCTGTAATTCTAAAGTAGTGTTCTGAGTGAGTATCTCAGAGTAAAATGTTTTGACGTTTAATACTCCTAGTCTCAGAGATGAGACTGATGGATTCTTCCTTCTCCAAAAAGCAAAAGTTGTTTGCATTCCCATTAGTAGTCCTCTCCCTTACATCATGACAGTGATGTTCCACACTTACTTTCCTGAAGTTCTCTGATGCCAAATTAAAATCTCTGGAATAACTCAGTCTCATTTTCAACCTGGAGAGCTTGCAGGTTGCTGCCCTGCTTGGGTGCTTGTCCTTAGATCTAGGGACTGAAAGGAGCAGAGCTGCTACTGCAGGGAACCAGTTGGTTTGCTGGCGGTGAGGCCTTTGCTTTGCTTGTGGTGGGGATGTGTGAGGGTTTAATTTTCAGTGTTTAAGTATTATATAAAAAGCCCACCAAACATGTAACATACATTTTAAGCTCTTTGAAGCTGTTTATTTTGAATAAATAAAAATTAATGGGCACAGGAACTGGCTATCTTGTGTCATCTCAGAAAGGTGTATGTTTACTGTCAGAATAGTGATACTCTGTGTGGCTCAGTGTATATGCAGTTAAAATTATTTTCTAACCAGAGAACAACTCTGATTAGCAGAAGGAACTCTGGGAAGTTCTTATCTATTTGTAGCTGATAAACAAGCTGTTAATTTGCTTGAGTGGGAAATAAGAAGTAGGTTTGGATGTGTTCTCCTGACCTAAGGAATGTGTTTGAACCAGAACTTTTCAGCTCTTGGAAAGCTGCCATAATGCAAACTGCTTTTTGAGATGGTGATCTGCAGACCAGTGGGGATTCTGTGAGCATCTGAATGCTGGCCATAAAATCGTATGTAGGTCACCCTGAAAGCAGTGCCTCCTGTTTATTTCTGTGGAAACTACAGCATGAGACAAAAGTGTACTATAACACCATTTGATAGAGCAAATTCTCAGCTACAGAACACTATTTTTCAACACAGTCACCACCATTAGGTGTGCATTTTCACTGGCAATAAGCAAGAGCCTGCATGGTGCTGTTGTCAAAATCTGTACCAGTAGAGGTGACCCACCATCACTTTTATCATTGCTGAAATGCACCACCTCACTGTGCTCACATCCATGTTTGGTCCAACATTCAGCGAGTGTCAATGAATGTCCTTTTTTTCTCATGGAGGGTTTCAGTGACACACCTTTGCTTCATCTGTGCTTCCATATCAGATAGGGTGTCAGGCTGTGCCTCTGCTGCCATCTGTCACACAGCAACAACATGTAATGAGATATTTGCAGGAAGGTTTAACCTCTAAAGCCACACCCCCAGCATAAGAAGAGGTATTTCTTTTTGAGCACTGTTCATACCATCTTAGAATATCCTGAGTTGAAAAGGACCCACAGAGACCAGCGAGTCCAGCTCTGGGCTCTACACAGGACCACCCAGAATTCAAACCCTATCATTCAGGTGCTTCAATAGACATGCTTGCTCTTGGGGAATAAGGCTAAGTTTCCAATTGCTGCGTGCTTTATTCCTTCTCTGTTCCTTTTTTTCCCCCCTGAGAAAGAATGATTTTCAAGAGATAATTAATATGTAATTAGATAACTTTATAAATGAGCATGTTTCTCTGTTGACTGCCCTAATATGACTTTGATTGGCAGTGAGTTAAATGTGAGTACATATTTAAATTTGGAATTTGGAACTGAATCACATCTTTTCAAAACACTTTGAAATACATAAATGGACAAGTTATTTGCTTCCATGGATTCTAAGGTGGCGTATCGCTTGCATGGATAGAGCCAGTAAGCTGTTTTAGGGTTGGAATGTCCTCCTCAGACTGGAAGAGCTGAGTCTGTTCAGCCTCAAGAAGAGGATGCTCAGGTGGGATCTTACCACTGTGGAAGAAGAATTAAAGAAAGTTAAGCTGTCTGGTGACGCTACAAGAGGCAATGATTGTAAACTACATTACTGTAAAGGTAGCTGAAGACTCACACAGGTTGTCTGGAGAGTGTAGAGGTTCCTTCGTAGAAGCTCAGCTGGCTGCAGGCCTGAGTAACGTGCTGTAGCTGACCTGGCTTTTAGCTGAGAAGATTGGACTTGGAAGTGTCCTGAGGTCCTTTCCAAACTCAGCTATTCTGTGATTATCGAGTTCTATGTCAGCAGATGAAATTATATGTAGAAAATGCTGCTTGAAGAATCTTGTAATATTAGAGAGAAAATACAAGTCTTGTGAGTTGTTTTGATAATTCTGCTTTATCTGCTTAGATTTCAACTTCTATCTTAGCACAACTTCTGATATTACACAATTTATTTCCAACAACATAGTTCTTCTGTGCAGAAAAGAACTAACAGAGAAATCAGTGCAGTAATTACTTTTTTTTATCAGTTCTGTTCACTTGACAACTAAATGCATTTTGCAGTGTATAAAACCCAATCCTGAATCTGAAGATCTATGGAAGTAATTTTAATTTGTACTCAAGTCTCAATCAAGGTTGCTGAGCAGAGGGAAGAATTCTGATGAGGAAACTGAGCTGTTGCTGTTCTGATTGGGACGATTTATCTATATGATTTATGATGAAGATAAAATGACATACTACCTTATGCACTTTCCTTGCTGCCTAGTTTCTGAATAAGTAGAAGGTGATTGTTCTGCCCTCCAGGATACTCAGCTTAGTGTAGTACCTTTGCTTTGAAGTGCAGATTTCATTATCTTTAAATATTCCTTTAGAGCAAGTATAATCTTTGTCCTGGATTGCAGATGACAGTTGACTAAGATCAGTTGGCAGAAGCCCTTTCTTGCATTTTAAAATTGGCATCATTATTAGTTTACCAACGTTGAGCAATTGGTGATCTATTAGTAGTAATCAACTTAAGGGATGAAGTGCCTAATGAATAGGTCTTTTTAGTGGTAGATTTGAAGAGTTTTAACTTACAATTAATTAAACTACCTATGGCCTTTCCTAAGAAGGGAGCATATTTTCCCTTCTCCCCAGTGGTTTCTGAAGGTATAGTAAGGAATGAAGAAAAAGGGAAGTGTTCTGAGATTTAAAAAGAAAAAAAGAAAAAAGGAAAGTAATGCAGGAGGTAGTGCTCATTTCTGAAGTGCAGAGGACTGAAAGAGGCTGTGGCACTTGGGACAGTTAGAGATGGGAAAGAGAAGTTGTCGCTGCGGTCAGGAAAGAAGCAATATCTAGCACTCAGCAGGGGTAGGAAGGGGGGAAGTGACTTAATTGGGTCAGATAGTAAGAAGAATGAATAGATGAAGTAGTGGTGTTTGGTGTGGTTTTTATTTTATCTGCCGGGGGGGAGGACTGGGAAAGGGGAAAGAAAGGAAAAATGTAAAGAAACAAAGTCTTGATAAATGCAATAATTAACTGCAACTTTGAGCCAAACTTGTAACTGTAGTTTGAATGTATTTTTTCAGTTAGATAATAGCAAGTGTTAGAAATCAAGAAGTGAGATTCTGATGTCTGATTCTCAACAAATCCTGTTTAGGCAGACCTTTTCAGGCATTGGGGGTTATGAATAGTGTATTAAAATATAATTAATGTTTGGATGAAAGCCTTCCAGAAGTTCTGTTTCAAAAGTTTATGTATCTTCTCATACAAATCACTTAATGTTTTCAATCTTGTTCAGTTTTATTTTGCAGCTGTTAAAACAATGGGGCAAAAGTTTCCAAGGAATGCCTATTGATGTGTGAGGAAATCTAGATCCTAATTGCCAAACAATTGCTGTGATGTCATGTGCAGATTTTATATGATGCTCACAAACAGCTTGTTGGGAACAACTGTAGACTCATAAAATGCCTATAAGGATTTTTCCTTCTTGTAGAGATTCCATCTATATTGCAAAAAAGCTTGTGATGTAACTCTCTGTGTATATTCCTGTTTTATGTAAATTGCTATACCATAAAATCAACTTACTTTGTGGAAAGAAAAATGTTTTTGCAGACTTAGTTTTTAGCATTTATACACAAAAACCAATCATAGTTCTGAAAGTCTCACTATATGTTACAAAAGCAACTCTTGGCTCTACATTTGCATACTAATATTTGACTTAGTTTTTTATAAGCTCTACTGGCAAAAGTAGATCTTGCCAGATTTTTTATGTATATTGTAAACATCACCTAGTATAATGTTTTCCTGTGGAAGAAAATCTCACTAATGAATATGAACGTTCTGGTAAAAAAGAAAAAAAAAAAGGGAATGCAAGCACAATAAAAGATTACAATTCTTATTGTGAAACGTCAAAGTATTTCATGATTTTTTTTTTGAATTGTGAAATTGGCAACTAGGCATTAAAACCAAATGTTGGCAAAACAAACGTCTGGTAATTGTAGCTGTGTAAGGATACTTTATTTTAAAGAACAACTGTTTTAACAAAATAAATGTAGATATTTTTATTGTTCCTAAAAGTAATAATCAGAAGTAAAGTCAATTAAATGTTCTGCTTTTGGTTTTCCAGAAACCAGCAAACATCCTGGTAATGGGTGAAGGTCCTGAAAGAGGAAGAGTCAAAATAGGTAAACGTTTTGAAAAAAATGTCATTACTCAGCTAAGATTAGTTAGTACAGCATTGTTACTTAAAAACAAATACAGTACGTTAAGTATTTTTTATGTTGTTATCATCAGCACATGTTTGCAGAGGTCTGCAGCTTTGCTACGCAAAAGCTTTTTGGCTATCAAAGTAGGAAACAACAGTGATGGTTTTTATCCCAAATTTCGTTACCTTTGCAGCTCTTAAGCCATAGTCATATGGTTCTACAGTTTTCTTTTTTCAGTAAAGCATGTGGTAAACACAAAGGAGGAGCCTCATTTCTGTTTGTTTACTGTTGTTGCATTTGAAAATGATCAATTAACCAGTTTCTATTAATATGCTTCTACTAATATGGGTGACTGCAAGAAGAATATGACATTTTGTAATTTTGAAAGCAGAAAGATTCAGACAAAGCTTGGGTGGAAGATAAATCACAGATTTGGACAAGATGTGATTTTTTTTTTTTTTTTTTTTTTTTTTTTTTTTTTTTTAATATACATCCAGATTTTGTGCTTTTCTTTCTGGCATTTCTTAATGTTGCTTACAAACTTGTTTTTAGAGATAATTTTTGATGTATATGAAATCAATGCATACATTTAAAATCCACCTCTGTAACAGTGCACACTAACAAATTTCACAAATTACTATTTACTCTCGTTTTCTGAAGGAGAAGAATGCAAAACAATCTATACTACAATCATTTTGTTGTTGCACTTTAGATAAACGTATAGCAGTCACGTGAGCTGTCATTTCAGTACTTTGCTCAATTTTGTATGTAAAAATTGAAGAGAAAGGGCACACTAGACTTAGAGGCCTACTCTTTCATCTCAAAACTCCTTTCTGACCCTATTTTTTACAGTAGTTGTTATTTCATCTACATTGCCCACTTTGGATGTGATTATCTGGCTTTATCTTCAACTCCACTAGTTAGCTGAAAGAGCAGACGGAGGGGAGTGGAGGGACTGAGCTCTGTCACCTCTGTGGTGACAGCAACAAGGCCTGAGGGGATGGCATGGGGCTGTGTCAGGGGAGGGTCAGCTCGGGGGGGGGGGGTTAGGGGAAAGGATCTTGGGGGTTAGGGAAAGGTGGTGAAATGGAACAGGCTGCCTAGGGCAGTGGGCACAGCTCCAAACTGACGGAGTTCAAGGAGTGCTGGGGCAACACTTAGACACAGGATTTGAATATTGGTCCTGTGTGGAGCCCAGAGTTAGAATCAGTGATCCTCATAGGTCTTTTCCAACTTGGGATGTTATCTGATTCTGTAAGCATTACCAGTTTCTTATCTTATGCTTCTGTCACGGATTTATTTAAATAAGAGAGTATCTGTATTATTTATAGTTTATCAGTATTACGATGGAAACACTTGCATGTTATCCTTCCTAGTCTTACAAAGGAAGTAAATGAAATGTAGCCTAAGATGAATTTGGCCCAGTATTGTTATGAGTGATTTGATTACTTAGAAACTTGGATTTGTGAATTCTAACAATTTTGAATTTTAGTCCTAATAGTTTTTTTGCAATGTTTAATTCTGGCTTGCTCCAGCAAGAGTAAGATCTTTTGTTTTGTCTTTTCTAGCTGATATGGGCTTTGCTAGATTGTTCAATTCACCTTTGAAGCCATTGGCAGACTTGGATCCAGTTGTGGTGACATTCTGGTACAGAGCTCCAGAGCTGCTACTTGGAGCCAGACATTACACAAAGGCTATTGGTAAGTTCTTCTGTTTAAATTTTCTAAAGGAGGATAGCCTTAGAGTAGATGTGACAGTCAGCTGACTAGCTAGTTCTTTCTTTTCTTTTTTTTTTTTTTTTTCCTTCCTGAGCTAGCAGTAGGTGGAGAATGATCCAATCCGGTACCCAGGCTGAAAGTCTTTGAAGACTTGGCACTTGTATATATATATATATATATATATATTTTTTTTTTTTCAGTACGACTTAATGTTACACATATAAAATGTGCTAGTTCTTTGTTGTTACTTTTTTCTAATAAAAATACTGTTTACATTGTTCTACATAGTTTTCTGATGCAGGCTTAGTCTTCTAGGATCTTTAAAAAGGAAAGAGCTACGACAGTTTAAGTGGCTTTCATCTGGGGTACTCGATGTCCAGTTGCTGCTGTGAAGTGTATGGTTTGATAAGGAGAGCCTCATACACTGTATACACTCTGCAGATTCACTCCTGAGATCTTCTGGTATTCCACGTTCAAGAAATGCTGGTAGCCAGGCCTTTGTCTTCCTTGCCACTTAGTAGGTTCCATAAGCACAATCAGCCTCAGTGCCCAACTATTTAGAGAATAAAAACACTAAAGTGCACAAGAGGTATCTTGTCTGTGTGGCTAGGTTAATGTATGGGAGATATTGCTTCCTCTGCAGTTCTTTTTCTGTTAAAAGGGATTTAATTTCCAAATGTATGTGGAGGTGGCTTTTTTTGCAGTTGCAGGCATCTTCCTGTCATAGAAATTTTTGGAAATACTATGTGGGCTTCTGATCAGAAAAAGACAATGTTTGCCATGATCAACTAGCATCTTGGTGGAATGTTCACTTGTGTAAATCTGCATTTTTAAGTAAGGTCTCACAGTCTCAAACAACTCCTCCTTATCAAACTGTATCCTTATGCACCAAGAGTACTGAAAAAGTTTAAAAATTGAATGAACTGTCATCTGACTTCTTTGATGTGGACTTTCAGATTTCTTTACTGCTCTTGTCTGCCATTTAGAATCCAATGCAAGATGATCAGAGCTGAACAAAATGCTTGTTTGTTCATCTTGCCTTCCAAAATGTGCAGGAACCATAAAAAAGGTCATGAGGGTTTCTTCGTAACTATGGTCAAGGAGCACAGTTCAGAAGGGCTTTCATCATCAAAGCTGTATGTTGCACTTTTTGGCAATGTGTAGATTCAGTCTTGCAAGCAGCTAACCTGCATTTCTATTCTTGGACCAAATTTGTCAGCCTGAAAAAGTGAGTAAAAAAAAAATGCTAGAGTTCCTTTTCCTCTTCTGAAATGAAAAATCTTAACTCTTAAGATAGCAATGTCTGCATTAGCAAGTAGTGTGGGACAATACAAGTATGTCCATACTAGTTACCTGGGACCCGCTTTAAATTCATTTTGGGGAAAGAGGAGTACTTTGAACTTTCCCTGGTGTGTCACTAATGAGCAGCAGAGAACTGCTGCTCATTAGTGACACATCTTTTGGTTTTAATTTAATCTCAAAAGAGTGAAGTTTGTATACTCTGAGAGATGTTTGGGGGATAAGGAATGTTTTCCTTAGGTTTAGTCAGAACCTGTTTTGTTTCAATTTATGCCCTAAATTTCTCATTGTCCTGTCATGTACCACAGTAGCAAGCCTACTATATAGTCTCAGTCACCTCTCCATAGGTACTGAGTGGCTACTTAGTGGTCTTTCTTCTGTCTGAAAAAGTTCCTGTCCCTCAGCTTCTCCTCCCATGTCAGCTGCTTCAGATCCTGAACATCCTAAAGGCTGTTTGCTGACTTATGTGCAGTTCTGTCTCATATTCAAACCACCAAAGTGGCTCAAGTGTGATCTACGAGCATTAAATAATGGTGGTATCTGTGGTGAATGTACTGGCTGTGTTCCTGTTGATACAGCCGAAGATCTTATCGATGCTTCGTTACTCTGTTGTTTCATGGTTATCACAGCTATGGCTGCCATTGATTATCACATCCTCAACCAGTCCTTCCTTCTTTTTTTTTATTAGAAGATTCAGGAGATGACATGTAGCATCTGGGTGAAGAAATTTACCTCAACATCTTCCAGAAAACCTTTGCAAGGTCCTTGAGATGAGTGTGTTCGCATCCTAGTTATTCTTCCTGATGCTATAGTCTGTTTAGCTCTTCCCACAACTCCTTTTGCTGAGGTCTTAAGTTATTTAGTTCTTGCCCTGAGGGTTCTGCATCCTATACTAGGGCAGAGGAGTCCCTGTGAAGTTGTAGAGGGTGATGGTACTTCAGAGAGATCTACTTTGGCCTATTTCTAAGAATTTTATTTCTTGTATTAGACCCACACCCATGAATCTCCAACAGGGATATGAATGGGTAGTGTACATGGCACGCAGTGTGAGTACTGAGGACATTCCAAATGGTTTGGCTAACAAAATAAAAAACGTGGAAATGGAAATGAGAGATGTAAGGTGAGGTTTGCAGGTTGAATGAAAGATTAGAGGAGCGTGTAACTTCAGAGGAAAGAAAGGTGTATGGATGTGATCTTCCCTTTGAGGTAAAGGGAAAAAGTTGGTATCAAAATGACAGCAGTGATGTTTGTGCATTTCATGAGTCCAGACTTGTGTTTTGCTTCTAGCCTTGCGTGCAACTATAACAAGGCTGCCTTAATGAGCTCATCATGCTACTGAGAGTTGCAGGTTAATATGTGAATGTTTTTGGCAGAGGTACAACTTTTAAAGCTCTATTAAATCTCTGTGCAATAAATACAATTATTTTTAAAATTACATAATCCTCAGGAGCCCTAATGCATCACTTTTAGTAATCACTCATAAATTATGTAAGATCCTCGTTTAACTGCTAATCGCTTGAATATATTAATTTAGAATAAGATCAATTTGATACACCAACTTATGAAGAAGTAAATTTTGGTGTAGCTTCTAATTTTACAGAGCTATTTTCATATGCATTCTGTATGATATAATTTTGTGTATTTCATAAATATTAATAAAATCAGTCTAAAAGCACCATCATATCAGCTTTGGTCTGTTCTCTTCAAGTTTTGTCCTTGAGAAATGCTTTTTTTTGAATTTGTTAGCAATGCATTCTACTCTACTGCAGCATGTTGAACATTGTAGCAACTGTGCTGGGTGTAATTCAGATGTATGCTTAAGTTTCTACTGATTTGTCTTAATGTTTTTTGTTTACTTTCTGTATTCTGTATCTCATACTTTTTTTCCTTATCGTAGCTTCATATATAATACGCATACCAGAGAGTGTGCTTCTGAAATTATTAGCAGTATATTCATAACACCCTGGACACTGTCTACTATAGTCTTATTTCTTTCTGTTCTTGGGATATGCTTTCTTGCACATAAATAACCCTTGTGCATGACCAAAGAATGAAAATGGAATTTGATTTTTGTCTCAGATGTGATTTTTTTTTTTTGTGTGTGTGTGTGTGTGTCTTGTTTTCTGAACCTGGTATTAGTTACATTTTGTAGATTTAACTTTGGGGAAGAATTGGGCTCAGCGTGGTCTGTTGAGAAAGAATTAGGTATTACATAAAACAACTCAGAAGCACATTTCATTTTTTAGAGGTAGTTTCTTACTATCACTTTTTCCCTATATTTAACGTGTCCCTTCATCCTTATGAAAGATTGTACTTCTCATTTATTTGCTGGCTGAACAAGGAGTGGTTCATTGCAAATATCATATTTTGAGGGGACGCAGGTGTCAGGAAAATACTGTTGCTGGAAACATGGAAATAGCTTTTGCTTTCTGCATGTTGAAAGGGTAGTAAAAAGCCCATGTTAGAGTCATTCATGTGGAATAATGTTTAGTTTCCTGAACTGTGAACACTTGTAATCTAAGCCCTAGTTGTTAATAAAGTTTCCTATATAATCTGCTATCACAGTTACAAGCAACTGACTTACAAGATGAGTACAGATTGGGAAAAATGGTGTTGAGGAAGCCAAAGGTTACTTTCTGTTCTGTTACCACAATGTAAATCTATGCTAAATTTATTGTAGCCTGCGGAGGCCTTGGTCTGCATTTCCAGCACCATAATTCAAAACCAGAATCTGTTTCCATGTGTTCATCTGATCTTAATATTCTAACACAGAAATAAAACATGCAAAGAAAGTCACTTTGAACAAACTTCATGTGAAACCGTGTAACTGGGAAAATATAAAATTTTTGTGATTATGCTGACATGAATAAAATTACTGAACTTTCAGAAAGTTTCCAGCACAATAGGAAAGTGCTCTTCTACTCAAAACACTAAAGAAACAAGGTTGAAGTGGCAAAGACTCCTGTACTACAGTTTTCAGTAGAAGTAGTAAGAACTTCTAATTATAGGCTTTTAGGAATGCATGTAACGTTCTCTACTCTGCTTCATTGTTGGATATCTTAGAACAGTGTATCAAGGAAATCACACAATTAAAGCTTCTTTTCTATCAAGTTATAGCTTGTGTAGCCAGGAGTGCTATCAAATAACGTTATCTTACTTCTCCTTTCCACTTGCCTTAGCTGAAGAAACAGTGTATGTGATAAACGTTATCACATGGCTTCTAAAATTTTATCTTGTTTGGATTTTGTTGGCAGAAGAGTTTTTCAGAGTGATCCTTCAACAATCCATTTAGTATGAGAAAAAAATCTGTTCTGCACCAGAAAAGGAAGGGGTTGCTTATTTAGAAAAAATAAATCTGAGAACCAAAAGTGTCTCTGTGAGTTAGTTAGCCCGATTTGGTTAATTAGCTTAATTCACTTGCCTAGCTTGCAAGTCAGTAGGAATGTTAGCAATGGCCATGTGAGAACTGCATTTTTGTGCTTGAACAAGATTTACATGTGGAAAACTTGTAGTTTAAAACTTGGGCAGTGCACTGGTCACCTCATTCTGTTTCCAGACAAAGATATGGATATGAAAGCTGGAAATGTATAAAAGGTATAACCTGTTATCCAGTGCCTTTGAAAGTAAATGTCCGAGGAAAATGTTAAGTGTGTCAAGGGGAATTAGTTTATAATAATTGCTGA